AAAACAAACAAAACGTGTTTCCTTTGGGAACAGTCACAAACACATGTTTCTTCCTTCTCAACTGCCACTCAATCACATTACAACATAGCAACCAAATAGAAGCTCTGTTCTGTTTGGGAGAAGGGTTGTTGATCACTATACAGTGGGGCTGCAATCTCTCCAGTTGCTGCCAAATACCATCTTGACCCTTCATAGTGGAAAAGTTGTATCCTGCCTTGAAATCCATAGGAGATGCAACTTTAACACCATTCTTTGAAAGGAACCAAGATAATCCACTGTTTCCATGAAGTAACTCAACAACATCAGGATGATCATCATTACAGAAGAAAAAAGGACTGTTCCCCAAATTCGACATCAACATACAGTTCGTGATCTTCACGTAAGTTCTCCGGATTCTCATCGTCTAATGCCGGTATGGAAACATCATGCCACTCATCGTGATCGCGTCTAACCTTTGACTGATTCACACGTATCACTGCCTTACCAGTATTGGCTTGGACCATAGCTCCTTCTTGTCCAAGTACTGTGGCACGAACCCAACGTCCTTTATCCTTGAACTTTGATGAATCCTGAGTCCAAACAAAAACCTTCTCTCCTTGGAAATAAGGACCGTCACTTGGCATAGTCCTTCTTGCAAGATCTGCTCGAAGGTCCTGAGCTTGTCGTGCTTCTTGATGAGCTCTCAAAGCCCCACGTTGTAGTTCCAAATTTGTACGATCTTGTGCGGCGGCATTAGCTGACAATTGCTCAGGGCTTGCGGTCTCAAGGTCAAAAAGATCTGGTGGACGTCTTCCAGTTGCTATCTCTATTGGTGAATATCCACTGATAGTCAACTGACAATTTCTTGCCAAACTACCTTCTTGACCACTTCTCTGACCGTAACACTACGAAAACGTGGGTCATCCAGATCTACCTTCATAACATGCCACATACGTTTGAACAAACGTACAGCTGTCTCTGCTCGGTTCGGCCAAGGAGTTCTTGGCCCACAAGGACATTGTTGTATACCATGGAACCTGTAGTATTCAACAAAAGCATCGGTGAAAAAGGTTTCGTCTCCTACGATGGCCTTCGGAACACAGTTGTTCTCATCAGACCACTGCCTCAATGCTTGGATGGTGGTTTGATCTATGAGGTCTTTCTGTGCCGTAGCCCAGAGAAGATTTGTGGCACCATCAAGAACAAGTAAGATGATATACTTGTTCTTGTGAAGTTCAACCTCACAATGATCAGCAAAAACAACATCACCAAAACATGAAGCTCTAATACCGGAGACTCTGGCTCGTGGCGGAGGTGCCACTGAAGTGTTACAAACACGGCAGTTCCTGACAACTGATTCATACTTCTCTAAAACAGAGTCAGGAAGCTTCAACATAGAAACACGTCTACGAAACTGAGTAGGACTCATATGGTAGTGCTTCACATGAAGCTTATAAAGCTCTACCTTGTCCTCCAGTCTCTGTAACATCTTCCTATATGCCGGTGTCATTGCAACAACTTCACTACCAGGTAATGGGATTGAAATCCGCCTAGGCTCAAGAGCGCCATCACCTGGTTCAAGTGGTTCATGTTTATCACTTGATGGTCCTTTTGATGCTTTAGGAATTTCTACAAGTTCACCTTCTGGCCTCTCAGGTGGTTCTGAGGGAGCATACTCCTCAAGATCATCACCCTTTAAATCATTCTGAGGCTCAGATGGTTTCGACTTGTGTCCTTTCCAAAATGGATCAAAACCCTTGGAAGTATACCGAAACTTTGGCGGCACGGGCTTTTCCGCGGCACTTGATGGTGCACCTTCCTTCTCTGACGAGAAGCCTGGTTCCCTGTCCTTTGCAATGGGAACCTTCTCTGAGGAGGAGCGCACCACTGCATCGGGATCACCAATGCCACGGTGCTCAATGCCAGCCTTCCTGATCTTTAGATCTGGAATTTTGGCATCTGGCTTGAACTTAAAAATTGTTCTACCACGCCATTCATAGCCAATTTGTAGGTCCTTCCATTTTGCCTTGCGCCAATCATCTAGCTTCTTGATTTCTTCTCCACCTTCTTTCTTCTTGATGATTGTCAGTCGCAAGTCTTCCAGTAAGTCAGTGTCTACAGGACAGGACTTAGTTGCTGGAAAAAGAATCTTTCTATAATCCTTGTGGTGACGTATCAGTTCTCTCTTGTGAACATCTACTTCCCAGTAGTCAACCACAGGATATGCATGTTCAGCTACATCTTCATCACTATTGTGTTCAACAGAAATATGACCATATTCATAGTGAGTGAAGTGAGAGTAAAAACTCTTCTCGCGCCGAGTCTGAAAATTCACGTCAGACAGATACCATGCAATATCTTGGAAGTCCAAGACAAGATGAGTACTGGCTGCAACCTTCAACTCCAAATATTTGATACCAAGAGGCACCGATGTCAGATAAGCATGTTGAGGTGTCAGCCTGAGTTCAAAGCCTAAGTTCCTCATCTGTGTCAAGCTCATAAGCAAAGGGACTTCTCCTTCTTCCACTATGTCGAACTCTGTATGGTGGATCGTCCATGCACGATCATACATGTAAATCACCAGTTTCTGAGAGCAAGTAGCCTTCTGGGAATTGGCAAAGTAAAACTTGCTCTTGGTAGCCTCAAAAGAGTACCATAATCCACAATCTGGGTGATTGTCGACATAGTTGCAAAAATGGTCGACTGCTCGCCTTGATCCCATAGCTCTAGTGCATCCAATGTCCAGGATTGCAATAGTCGGCGGGAAGCGATTCTCAGTCAAAAATGAAATGGCCTGCATCTCCTTCACTTCTTCCTCAGCGCTCATAAGCGCAAAGCCATCAGGAGCCTTTGTGAGCATCTCCTTTGACAAAGAGTACCTCACCGGGGCACTCATGCCATTGAAGATCTTCTCACCATTGTTGACCGCGCAGTCAGCTTCATCTTGACATGAGGTCATCATGCCTGACAGCAAGTTCACCTCACTGTCATGGACTTCAGCTGCTGCTGTCACACAATGTGCAAAGAAACCTTGTTGACCTCCTGATGCTTGTGAAGATCTTGAAGGTGCAGGTAAAGAACGTGGCTGTTGTTGATTTGCATAGTTTGCATCTTGTTTGCCATCTCCTTTATCTTTTCCTTTTCCTTTCTTGCCTTTTCTCTTGCCTTTTCCTTTTCCTTTGTGGGAAAACCATGCTTCTTCAAGCTGTTGCCAAAAGTCATTGGCATCATCATATTCTCCTTGAAGATAGTCATTCATATCTTCGGCAAGAATGGCATCATATGCTACTTGGTTTGACTCCCAAGTGTCCTCATAAGGATTCTCTTCATAATACTCATCTGGAAAAGTTGTCTGTTGCTCATCAGCAAAATGGCCTTTACCTCGTCTCTTTCCTTTTCCTTTTCCACGAGGTCTGAAAAATCTGCGGCCCTTTATCTTTTCCTTTTCTTCTTCCTTTTCCTTTGCCTTTTCTGGCTCTTCTTCCTTGGAATCTCCTTTGGAACCACGAGAAGTTTTGATCATCATATACCCAAAAGACATCGTCCAGGGCATCTAAAAATCCTTCAGTTCCATCTTCTTCATCTTCGGCCCAATAGCCAAATGTACCATCGAGTTCTCCTTCGTCTAGTACGAGAAATGATCTTCTACCTCCAGCACCTGTCGGCTGCATCAAAGGATTGTCTACTGAAGTCTTTGTTGTGCAGAACATCTCAATGAATACTGTCCTCAACTCTGTTGTGGTGTATTGCTGCAGGACCCTGCCACGATGAGTCATCAAAGAAGTCAAAGTGTTTCGCTGGTCCTGAGACAAATCTGCAAGTGACAGCATGAGTAAGGCAATCAGATTTTCTCCTAGAGGAAATTCGTTCTGATGAAAAGTCCTCATATTGCCATTGATGGTCTGCATGATTTCCTGAATACTTTCTGCCGTTGGTGCTACTCCAGTCAACGCTGCATCTGCCTGCATCTGAGCTAGGACTTGAGGATGTGCTTGTGTGACTGGCTCTAACATGTCCATCCAACTGCTCATAAGCCTTTGGAGTAAAATCTGAAATCTTGTCATCCATTTCATCATGTCAGCTGATCCTCGATTGAAGCGCACGAATTGCATAAATCTATACAGGAATACATTGGTTGATCCTTTCACGAAATATGGTCGTAGTACTCGTTTGAAATATTCTACGCCGGCTCCTGGTGGATCATTTGCCTTCAATGCATCTCTGTCTAAAACACGCTTGTATACAGCTGCTTCTCCTTCTAATCTGTTTCTCAATGCTGGTCCTCTCTTCTCATCTTCCAGCTCGGTGATATCACACCAATCGTCTATGGCATCCTCATAGGAAAACCATGAAGTCTTTCCATCATAAGATGGGGGCACCTTTGTAGTGACCTGTGTTGTCATTGCTATTGCTGCTGGTTCTCTTCTCACATGCCTATTCACGTAGGCTGCTGGCTCATAAGCCACATCCGCATCAGGCTCTTCCCAGTCGTCTATCCAATCCATGGCTGTTTGCCCACTAGCAAGTCTATGCCTAGGAAAGGAGCTCACCTGGGTCTTCCAGGATCACTGCTCCGCTACCACTGAAAGAGTGACTAGGGCGTACACGGTAGAGGTGCAGACCGCTAGTGTCTTTTATGCGCAGAGTCTTATCCTCTTGCTCTTTGAGCCTTGAAGCAGTCAAGTATGGACACACTATATCGGCTGTTGGAGTGGAACCCTGTACAGGTAGGCTCTACTTTTCAGGGGGGGGAGGGGGGGGGTGGGGGTGTTAGACATTGATCTACCAATCTTTAGTCCCGAGCAAGCTCTCAAGCCAGTCCCTTTGCTTCGCAAAGCAAACTCAAGGTAGTCCTTACCAGGCTTCCTTTCGTGATATGTGCGGATCCCCCCCCAAAAAAGCCTTCCCATCCCACCCGGCAAAAACAAAAACATCAACGAATCATCAACGAATCACTTTAAGACCCGTCATCTCCACCACCCTTCATCTCCGCGAACCGATCAGCATGCTTGCCATGCATCTGGCTTGTTGGAGAGCACATGGCACCAGAGTTCCGCGCGGCACCAGCCCCGCGAGAGCCAGGAGCTAAAGTTGCAAATGCTCCCAGTCCTTACGACCCAAAGGTCGGCGACCCAACTTGTGGGCGAAATGGGAGGGTCGAGGACCACCCGATGGAGCACACCAAACATGGCAATAAAACTATACTCACTGAATGGATGAACTGTCGCCTGCCTATATAGATAGCTAGACTTGATGTTCTTCTGGCGTCCCCAGGAAGAACCCAGACCGCATTCAGACTTGCGGTTACTACCTGGACAAAGGACTTTTACACATAATAAGCTGTGATTCTACTCACTCCGCGTAGTGTAGTGTAGGAAGGCAGGATTGAACTTTGTAGTTGGATGCACATTGATGCAGTCATTCACCCCGATGTGCAAGTTCATCTGGTCATGGACTTGGACACCGGTTTTATGAAAACGATATGCCCTTTCCACAAAGAAACAATGCCACCGTACTGCAGAAACACTCTTCCATGGACTCTTCCACCTTCTTTGTGTTTCTACTTCCAGCTGCAAAAATCAATTCACAGAGTCAGCATCTCAGTCGAAGTTGAATCTCCAATTCCATTCCCTGCCAATCTGGCGAGGAGCTCATAATGCTGCAATGGGCACACCAGCCCCAGAAAAATATTGGCCACTTCCACCTAATTGAAACATTTTTTTGAGCGGGCGACCGATGCATCTTTGCCCGTACTAGTGAGATATTACGAGTGAGATGATGAGAGGCGAGGGAGGCCGGACTCAGGAGGCAAACTGGTGAAAGTAATTGAACGATCTAGAATCTAGAATCTAGCAATGTTTCCGTGTGTTTCCGTTCAACGTGCATGGCAGCTTTGTGATTGATGGACTGGATGGAACCTTGGTCAACATCTCTCAGTTTGGGGTGTGCAAACCTATACTGTGCTTCTCTACCAATTTCTACAAATTCAAAGTTCTAGGGGTTTGGTGTCGGTGTTAGGTTTGCTTGGCATGCTTGGTGACGGTTCGTTTCTTCGTCCGCTCTTGCGAGAGCAAGGTCTAGACATCCTCCAGTCACCTGACCGTGAGTCCCATCCGAGCAATCCAGTCACCTCCCTTTCCGTTCGCCGGATATCGTAAGACTGCAAGACAGTTTACAAATATATAGAGCAGAGATAATTCTGAACCGGATGTCCGGACCAAGGGCAGGATTGGGCGATTTCGCGGCCCTCATTGCCACACACCACGTATGGGTATGGGTTTCACCACGGTAGGGCTGGCACTCTGTATTGGCCAGGTCCCGGCCGTATGTGCTGTAGAGCAGGCTCGTATACGGTCCTGGGATCCTTAGGATTGGCACCCTGGAAGACAATGCCATGGAACCCGAAAGCCATGACTGGTAGAAGAACAGCGTCGGACCATGGGACCATGGTTCTTCAGGGTCTATGTTCGTTTTGGATGAAACAATCCGGATCCCAAATCCTGCCACCGGGGCACGTACGCAGGGATACTCTGCACCGCCTTCGCAGCATCCGACTTCACCACGTCCTCGTTGACGCCCGCCGCACGCGCTGTGACCTGCGGAATGGCAAACCAGTCCTCGGTGGGGACGGTCTTGGCGGGTGGTTTGGTCCTGGGCGGTAGAGGTTGGCTCTCAATCACTCCCAAATTCGATGTACGTGCGATGCATGCTTATATGCTTAAGCCCGCTCACATCCCCTATGTCGTCCTTAGCAATTTCGACTCTGAGCTTTGCTTGTGACATTTATGGCTGTGCTACTGGCTATGCTCAAAACATGTTGAAACCTCCTTTGATGTCCTTCAACACAATTTCCTGGACCAAACATGACCCAAGCATGTTCGACCCTGGAGGTGTCCCCCACCCTTCTTTCCTCCCATATTCCATCTCCTTTGATCTTACCGCCCTCCCCACCCACCTCTCCACCTACCTGCCTCTCTCCACCTACCTCTCTCCACCCCTCAGACCTTCCGCCCAGGTGCCAGGAAGAGGTATCCGCCCGCGATCCATCTCCGGCCCTCGCAAGGGAAGCCTGGACCCCCGCTCTCCGTGACCATGTCCATCTCCACCTCCAAGGTCCCGCGTCGGGGACCCGCGGAATCCGAGGCCGAATCTGTGCGGCGGCTGGAGATGTGTTTGGCCAGGAATATCAGGTTGAAGATGATTAAGAGTTCAAGAAATCGTTTCCTTCTCTCTGGCGCGCGCGCGCTCTCTCTCTCTCTCTCTCTTTCTCTGTCTCTCTCATTGCAAGAAAGGTACTTTTTCCATTGAAGGATCTTCTTTGAGGGGACGAATCAACTCCACTGTGTCCGACTGCATCCCCCCCTGCGTCCCCACCTGCGTCGTCCCATTGATGACGTTCCTTAAGGCCGCCCGTAGGAAGCTCGCTTGTTCTCCTGCGCCGGCGTTCGATCCAGCCCAGTCGTGCATCGGTGGAAGCTGCGGTGATCCGGTGCTGTTTTCTGGGTGTTCCGGCTGCCCGGGATTCTTTCATTCACGTTGCGAAAGCAAACGCAATGGGGTTGTCACCACACTATGTATAAAGTAGATGCTTGATTAATAGTCCCCCCAATAATGTCGATATGCAGGGTTTGATTAATCAAGAGTCTGCATTAATCCTTTCGAAAACCCTGTCTTGCCAGCTTCACCCAGTGGTTTCGTTTGATTTATCTTGTTTCCCTTCCTCTCCTTTTGGATCAGGATGTTCGAAGCTCAGCCACTGGTGAGAGACGAAGATCCTCGTCAAGAACCATCAAGGTGTTTCTCGAGGCCACAGGCGGCCCGAGGAGGCCACGGAATCTGGATATCACTCTTCACATCCAAAAGGATGATTGCAACGACACCAATGATATAGCAGCCAAAAGGATTGTAATGGATGCTAATTCGATCGATCAGCAGATCAGACGCTTCGTTTGACCTCAAACAAACTAAATTTGTTCAAACAAAGATATAAACACACATACGCACAATCACACACTCTGACAATTGTATTCAGTTAACTCTGTTCCCACGTTGAGAAGGAAGGTGAAGGAACGGAAAGGCGCATGGGTCCGCAACAAAGTATTGTTGAACATCCTGTTGAAATGCACTCGCAAGCGGTCAGCGCGCGGCAGCTGGAAGCGGCAGAGGGAAATGGTTTGTGGGAAGTATCATGAACCAAAGTGGAATCATACGCCAGACTGATCAGGCCTGGTTTCACTGCCAATTGCAAGCGTCTTCGTTGGCAGGAGACTTGCAATGGCACTCCTGCCCCCTGCATTTAAAATCTTAGTTACAGAGGTTAGAGGTGGAACCCTTAGATACAGGGGGTGACACACACAAACCGCCAATATTGGCGCTGCGAAAAACTAATAGCCACCTAAAAAGCCTTAGAAAGACAGACAAAGCAAACAAAACAACAGCAGACTAAGAGGGCAAGAAAGAAAGATAGGGGTAGTTACGAGGCCCACTTAGTTAAATGAAAGTAGAGCGCGAGCGGGACATTTGTCTTAAACCGCCCGGGTAGCTAGCAATAGGCTAGGAGAAACAGAAGGAAAGGCACCAACACACAAGTGTGTTGAGTGCGATTTCCTTCTGTTTCCCGAGTAGCGGGTGGGGCAGCAACGGAGGCCCAGGGGTAGGGAGGGGGAAAAAAGTGCACGTTTAATTCGTCCGGCCCGTGAATACTTAGCAGCACATGCACATGTGAATACTTAGCCGTCAAACATCTCAAAAAAGCAAGTGTTGCAAAACTGTCAGTTCCCGTGGTGAGGCCCGGCGGCCGTTGTGGCAGTTAATTCGGTGGTTGTGGCGGTGACTTCCAGTGAATTTCCTGTGAAAAGTGGTGAGGTCAGTTAGTGCTTGCACGATGAGACAGCGCCCCAATGATGGGGATCACACTCAGCACCCGAGTGGGACGGCTGAGCGAAACACACTCTGACAATTGTATTCAGTTAACTCTGTTCCCACTTTGAGAAGGAAGGTGAAGGAACGGAAAAGTGCATGGGTCCGCAACAAAGTATTGTTGAACATCCTGTTGAAATGCACTCGCAAGCGGTCAGCGCGCGGCAGCTGGAAGCGGCAGAGGGAAATGGTTTGTGGGAAGTATCATGAACCACCGTGGAATCAAACAAAGGAGATTGGAACAGCGTGGGCAAAAGTTCAAAAAATCGCAGGTACGCCAGACTGATCAGGTCTGGTTTCACTGCCAATTGCAAGCGTCTTCGTTGGCAGGAGACTTGCAATGGCACTCCTGCCCCCTGCATTTAAAATCTTAGTTACAGAGGTTAGAGGTGGAACCCTTAGATACAGTGGGTGACACACACACACACACACCCTCGGCTGTGGAGGATCATCCACTCCAAGGATCACAAACATCTCTGGGCGCCATTGGTGCAGAAGTCCCTTGGCCTGCAGCTCCTGAGTGCCAGAATGTGCCCGACCCGGGGCGCGGACCCCTGCTGAACCGCCCACATCGGCTTCCCAAGTCCCTGCGGGGCGTCCCGAAAAGGCTGCGAACACATTGGAAGAGTGGGGCGGGGCTCCGGATTGAGCGGCACCCCCAAGTGAAAAGGCATCCCAAGAACATCCAAAAAGCAAGCCATCCCCAAGACCTCCAAGAAACGGATCGTTTGCTTGTGGGAGTCCAGGAAAGACGAGATTTCAAAACATTTGAAGCACGGTCCGGCTACGTGATCCCTGTCCAGATATTTTCCTTTACCAGGGTGGTACCACAGGACATGACCAAAACATCGTCGTTTCCCGGACCTCTGGGCTTTGCATTGGGTCTTCCATCAGACCACGATTGTGACCTGTGCCATGCACGACGAACTGCTCACCGGCCGTCCGTCCGGACGACCCGGTTTGCACGTCCCGGTGGCCGCATGTGCCGCAGGCGGGCCAGTCATCTCCAGGAAGTCAGAGACCTGGAGATGTACAGAGCAAAGAGGTGAACTATACATGACTATACTATATATATATATATATCGAGTAGAAGTAGAATCGGCCCTGGCGACTTTCCATGTGAAAATCGCGGGGTTGGGGTGGGGTGGCTGCATGCTTTGTGAGAGCAAATATGTGTTTTCCCTCTTGAACAGAAGAGCTTCCGGACCCAGCCAGATTTTGCACTTGTTTGGATACAAACTGGCCAGGACATCGAACAAACTGAGAACATGAGGACATAAACATACCTGGTCGAGGAGGCTTTGTTTTTCTGAGGTTCGTTTTGTTCTACCGATAGCTTGTTCACTTTGGAGCTTGATGTATCTTCCCAGCTCTTCCGGAAACAATGTGAATAGAAAGCTACAAGAGGCTCTAAAAAGGGCGGATACCAACCGAATCGATGCCTGAGATGAGAATCTTCCATTCATCAAGACCATAGGTCCTTTTGGCTAGTGCCTGTGAGCCAATCATGACTCCAAGCATGGTCCCAACCTCAAAAGTTGAAAAGCACAGCTTTGCAGTTCCTCGGGTTCAAGGAAACAGATCCAAGGGAAGATCGTGAATCTGCAAAAAACAACAACAAACGACATCAGCAAATTCTTTTGGTATCTTTATCTTTCTAACCCATCGGGTCATCTACTTCAAGGACTGTATTCTGTTGGCATGCAACGCATAGCATCAGCCCGTGTTTCCTAATGTTGTTGACCAGGGTCCTCTCTTTCCCCACCTGTTCATCTTGGGCTACCCCAACAAGCGCCTTCACCACATACATGGGGAAGAACATCTCATGGACCAAGGCAGTTGATGCTGCTCCGAACGTTCCAGTCATCTCCGTTGACTCTGCAGCGCAGCATGTTCCGCAGATGCGATCGAAGCCCATGGTGGAAAAGCCGCTGAAACGGAGCGTTGAACGGAGACCACTGAGCCAAACTCACCCCCAAACGCGAGACATGGGACTGCCATCGGACTGCCGATCAGTTGGGTGACCCGTGAAAGGGGTGGGACCCGTGAAAGGGAAGGTCCGCGCTCCTTCGCCCACACGACGGGAGAACCCAACGGGAGAACCCTATGTTTGGCCATGTTCTGCAGAAGTTGGGGTGAATTGGGTGCACTTGGGGTGAATGGGAGGCATCAGCAAGTCAGCAAAGTTCAAGAAAGTTGAGCATGGAGATGCTCAAATGGCACAACACATGCATTTGACGACAAATACAGGACATTCTCGAAAGCCACCCTGTGAGCTTCCAATCCGTCTTTCCTCGAATCCGTCACGTCACTTTTTCACTTGATGGTTCGAGCATCATCGGTTTCATCGAGCAGCAGCCACCCTGCATGAACGGATCTCTCGTGCCCCGCGGAGAAAAAATCAATCGACGTCTTTTCCAGTGGCCTTCGACGTCTTTTTCAATGACAGAATCGACGGAAGTCATGGGATGGTGAACACCCCAGCAGGATTTTAGACACCACCCAAGCAATTACACTCAGACTCACTGACATGGACGTGGACCATTTATGACAATGGGATCTTGGAAGACCTTTTCCTTGAAGAAGTGGAGTTCCACTTCCATGCTAGTCACGCAGTAGAAAGACCCCCAAAACTAGACTGGATGCAGCTGCCGTGCCCAATTCCACACTTCAGGGGCTTACACCTTCAGCAGTCACTTCCCGTGCCTCACCTCCCTTCAGGAGCAGGCACAGGCGCAGCTTGATGGCGCAGCAAGCGCATTGCGCGAAAAACGCGGTGGGGTCTAGACTCCCACCTGCAAAATTGGCACACGTGAAGGTGCGGAATATCGGCTCCCTTTTAATCCGCTCCCAGAACCATGAGTTGTTGATTTTTGAGTTTTTTTTGGGATGGCGTGGATGTGAAACAAGGAGATTGACTGAACAATTTCTGGTGTGCCCTCCATCCCATCCATACCCCTTTGACCCCCGTTCACTTCGAATTCGACTTCAGCAGCAGATCGCTCGGTGCGTCGCGGTCGGTCCGGTCCGGTCGGGTCGGGTCCTCCGGCGGGATCTCGAGTTGGCTTCGTTGGTTCAGTCGACTTAAGACCTAAATCCATCCCAGAGGTAATGGAGATGATGAGACGAATCCAACAGCCACAAGACTAGGGGGCCTACCATGCTTTACTAGTATCCAGGGATCCAGTCGCACCTTCTCAGAAGGTGATTGGAGGCACTGTTATGTAGGTTTTGAGGGTTCAAGCACCTCCTGAGAAGGTACGACAGGATCCGCCAGTATGGCCATCCCCTGCTCACGTATTCCAGGCAGATATCTGAACTCTGCTCCTTTCTCATGAAACCCGATACCTGGATCCTTAGCTGTCTTTTGCACTCTGTCTGTGGTTGCTCTGCCTTATAAAGTCGCGGGGGATCAACGCGAAGGTTCCATGTGCCTGGCATACGGGTGCCCATCAAGCCAGACCCACCTCGGTTCACTCTGCCGGCTATCTGGCACCTGGCACCTCAAACAGCAAAGGTGTCGAAGAGCGGCAGTATGTTTTCCTTGGTGTGCCAGAAAAGGCGCCAAGTACCAACATTTGCCGCTGGTGGAGTCCGTTGCAACATGAAATTGAACTCATGATTTTAAGATCCAGCTGTCTGTATGTATATGTATACATATTGTATTTGCGCATATATATATATGGATAGATAGATGGATAGATAGATAGATAGATAGATAGCCAACAACATGGAATTTAATGTTCAATTCATTGTTTCAACATCCAACTCTAGCTATATGCATAAATAAGTAATATATAATAAATAATATAGAGAGAGAGACAGCCAGCAAATCCTGCCAATACGCAGCAAAGTTTCGACAGGCTTCCGGCAAAAACCCAGTGGTTGGATTTAAACATATGATTTAAAACATTACGCTGTGTCTACACTACTGTATACCACACTTGGACCAAAAACAATCTCCATGTTTCTTGCCTAGGGGCCGCTTAGGGGCCTGGAGAAAGAGGGAAGAACACACACAACCAAGAAAACAGGAACCCACCACCGGTGTGGACCTTTTTCCCTTCACACACCGCATGTAAACCGCCCAAGTCCACTCCACCGACTCCAGGCCACGTGCCCATTCAACATGGCAGAATCGATGGGCAAATCGCCCCGGTCGTTGGCGCGGATCTGGGCTGGACGGGCCAAACCCGGGCCAAACCGGGAAACCCAATGTCTGGGGGACCCGGTTTCTCTCCTAGGCACCACCTTTCCAAAGATCTGGGCAGATCTGGCAACGGGTCCTTCAACCGGGGGAGGCCAACATGAACAGCATAGACGACCTACAGGTGAAGCTTCACCTCCAGGTTCGGCTCCGAGTTCCGAGCCACAGCCCTCGTGTAGCAACGGAGACGGAGCCCGGCGGCCTCTATGACTTGGTCGTTGTTCATCATGTTCTCGTGCGTGTTTTCCGGCGCACCGGAAAGGGCGACCAAAGTAGATAAACACGACCCACATGGAGAAAGTATTGATGACACCTGTGGTCAGGTGTAAAAGGTGCCATGGAAAACTATTGAAAATTATGGAAACTATACTAACCCAACTTCACCTCGCTTGGACCAAACGGACAACATCTGGTAGAACACATTCCTTTAAATACTGGCTTGGAGTGCCAAATCCCAACGATATCCATAGCTGGAGCTTATTGGTAGTAGACCATGCAAACCGGGCACCATATGGCACAAACCACGCCATTCGCCACGCGCCACGCGCCACTCGCATCGCGGCGCGCCTCCGCGCCGTGCTCCAGGAAGAGCCGCGCCAGCTGCTCGTCCCCCACGAACGCGGCGCATCCCAAGGCCGTGAGGCCTGGCGCCGCACGGGGCAGCACATGTTGCAATTGAACAGAAACTGGACATGTTACAATGTTGAAGCATCCAGGGTAGGAGGTGGTTTAATGACCAGTCAACGTTTTTAGAATTTTGTAGATCTATATAGAAGTGAAGATCAGGCAACTACAAAAAGATACGGTGTGAGTCGATGTTCTTGTAAAACCTGAAAGCTCTGCAGGATTTTTGGGAAGCAACAAACACACGAATTGAAGATCCTTTTGCTCCTTGTCACTGTCTTACTAGATCAACTCATGCCCAGTTGTATACAGTGTCACGACTAGCTCACCCGTTTCCACGCCCAGAGTGTCGTCCGAAGGTGAGTTGGAACCAAATCCCGATGGGAATACATATTATCATTAACCTATATTAATAACATGAAGACTGGACCTATACATTAACTTCAATGTATTGTAAAATGAAACGTATATACATTGACCTCTGAAACACCCCAACTGGTCTGTCGATATGGCAGTCCCAAGACTAGTCGTGATTGGGATTGATTGATACAGCCAGAGTGGAGTCACTGGATTTGCTGAATTCTCGAACCGGGAAACAATTACAGTAATAACTATATCTAAAATAATGTAAAGTCAGGATTATTAAATCACCCCTAGTTAACCCGAGCCCACAAAGCCGCCGGAAATTGCCCAAATTAAAAGTAGTATTGGTTGTTGCTACTAACTATTGCTGCTGCTGCTGCTGCTGCTCCTACTACTACTACCACCACCCTACCTACCTACCTACCTACCTACCAAAAAACAACCATTTGACAAGCTCACAAAGGGTACCCCTCACAAGGGCCGGTCCCCCATCAATAATCTGCACTACTACCCCCTATTAATTTGATCCTGTGTCCCTGGCCTTTTCTTGTGCTTGTTTAAACATAATGTGACTACTATTGCCACTACTGCTGCTGCTACTGCGACTACCACTACCACTACTGCTGCTGCTACTGCGATTACCACTACCACTACTACTGCTGCTGTTGCTCCCTACTACTACTACTACCACCACTACCACTACTACCACTACTACTACTACGACTACTACGACTACTACCACTACTACGACTACTACCACTACGACCACTACGACCACTATACGACCACTACGACCACCACCACCACCACCACCACCACCACCACCACGACCACGACCACGACCACGACCACGACCACGACCACGACGACGACGACTACTACCTACCTACCTACCTACCTACCTACCTACCTACGTACGTACGTACGTACTTACTTACTTACTTACTTACTTACTTACTTACTTACTTACTTACTT